TAGAGCTCCTGTGAGTCACCATGCCCTTCCCACACCCAGGGGCCTGGTGGGACTGGCACCTGCCCACACAATCCCAGGGTCCCATTGGCTGCCTCGGCCTCTCCTCCCTGGAAATCCATGCACCAGTGCAAAGGACGCAACCGAGCCGAGAGCCTGAGTGAGCCTCCTGGGGTGTTTGTATGACTTCCCAACCACGTAGGGGCAGCTCCTGGAGACACCTCTGGGCTCCTCTGGAATGATAGGCCCAGAGCAACCCAGGGGGAGGCCTGGAAAGCCCCAGCTGTTTGCATAACCCTGGGGGCCTATGGGTTCCCAGGATGGCTCCATACCTGTCCCATCCTGCCTAGAAGGGGATTGAGGAGTTCAGCTTTGCTCTCTCTTCACAGCCCTATTAATGATGAGACTGACAGTACCAGCCACCATTATCTGAGCACCTGGCCCCACCCAGAGCTCTCTCCATGGGTCGTCTCATTTAGGCCTCACACAACCCCATGACACTGCCCTCACTGATGCTCCACTTAATAGGTGAGTAAACTGAGGCTTGGAACATTTCAGGAGGCTTCCTGAGGTCACAGCAGAGCTAGCATTTGTATGATGGGTCAAAGTATGCTGTCTTCATTAAGCCCCACACACATCCTGCAAAACAGATGAATCCCTCAATCCCCTTTTAGACAGAATCCCCTTCAAAACAGATGAACCCAAAGGTCAGGATTTTTTTTCCTCAAGTTTACAATCTTTTTTTTTAATTAAATGTTATTAAATCTATTTTTTATTAAATCATAACTTTGTACATTGATGCATTTATGGGGTTCAGGCTACTGCTTCCATATACAATGTGAAATGCTTACACTGAACTAAGTAACACATCCATCACAATTATACTCATTTCTTAATAGTTTTGAAATGTACCATTGCATCATGCACATTAGGTGCGATCCCTCCAAATACCCTCCCTCCTCCCATATCCCTCCTTCCCTCCCCTCTCTCTCCTCTTCCTTTCTACTTTCTGGACTATAGTTGGTACATAGGTGGTTATATATTGATTTCATAGTAGTATTGAGTACATTAGATACTTTTGTTTCCATTCTTGAGATACTTTACTAAGAAGAATATGTTCCAGCTCCATCCAGGTAAACATAAAAGATGTGAAGTCTCCATCTTTTTAGGGCTACATAGTATTCCATGGTGTACACATACCACAATTTATTAATCCATTCATGTGTCAATGGGCACTTGGGCTGTTTCCATATCTTGGTTACTGTGAATTGGGCTGCAATAAACATTCTGGTGCAAATGTCCCAAAGGTCAGGCTTAGCTGCAGTCTACCCAGGCTTCCCAGGGAAGCTGAAGCCCAGGACTTCTAGCTCTAAACCCCAGGCCTGGCCCACAGTCTGTAGAACCAGTCTTAGCAAGGCCTTTCCTCTGGCACCTGTCCCCTGCCCAGCCTGCTGTGCCTCCCCCAGTCTCAATGCCCCTGGCAATGACCTTGATGGATCCCTTGGCCCTTCATTAACTGAGGCCCTTCTGTACTTCAGCCCTATCTTCCCAGGGAGACTATAAGCTTGGGGACAAGGGCTAACTTTTCTTGAAATCTCTGTTTTTTCAAGCACAGTGTTGGTCTTCTGGCTGTCTCTTTGTGGATGGATGGATGGAGGGATGGATGGATGATTGGTCCATGGTGAATTATATTAAGTAAGGAAACAAATGATTTTAAAAGGAAGGGAGCAAAGAAAGAGAGGAAAACATGAATGGAAGTAGAGAAAAAGTGAGTATGAGTGGGAGAGAAATACTGATAAAGTCAGTTTTACTGATTCTATGCTCAGAAATGAGGAAGCTGAGGCTCAGAGATGGACAGGGATTAGGTATGTCTGTGTAGGCAAGTAGCACCTGCCCAGCCCCTTTGGCAGGGAACAAAGTGTTTTCTGGGCCATAAGCCACTCTGCCCACAGGAGACATATCCTATAAGCCAATTCAGTGCTAAAGGTGTGGCTTAAAAATTCTTGATAAGATTTTTATAACAGATAACTTTATAAAGCACGTAAGTTATGTTTTTAAAACCATGAAGTATCCATTAAATTTCTCTGGTCTATTTCCATTCTTTTCTAGCATTCTTTTAGAAAGAATAAAATAATTACCTAAAACTCCTTATCAGCAAGAGTATCTTAATTAGCAAATATCCTAATAGCTATAGGATCTTTGCATATAGGGTCTGTGCTGTCCCCAGAACATGCCACGAATACACTTAACCGTGCCCCCCAAAATGTCCTTTGCCCTCCTTCCTCCCTTTTCTGCCCATCCTGGAAGGTTTTCATCAAATCCAAATCTGCCTTAAAGCTTTCCTGGTCACCCAGCCCTTAATCTCTCCCTCCCCCTTCTCAGAACCCGAAACCCTGCCCTACACCCACTCTGGCCATCCCTAGTGATGTGCTGGGAGTGCAGGAGTGGGTGAGTGTCTCCACAGCTGGATGCCAGCGCCTTGGGAACCGCGCCCCTTATCCACTCTTTGGTCCAGCCGCTTCTGCCACCCCTGCTTCTCCCAAGGTGAGCCTTGGCATTAGAACTGGATTTGCTACATATGTGGTGTTCAGCACGTTATCTCTTAATTAATTAATTGATAAGTGAGTACATGTGAATGAGAAAGGTAACCAGATATCACATCTGGAAAGCACAAAAAAGATCAGACCACCTTGAAATAAAGTATCATGTTCACTCCAAGGACATCTTAAAACAGAGATGTTTTATACCATCTCTTTCTTGATATCTATGGACTAGGAGTCCAAAGACCTGAGAAGGGGCCTGGCATGATGGCTCTTGCTTGTAATCCTAGCACTCTGGCAGGCCGAGGCAAGTGGATTGCCTGAGTTCAGGAGTTCAAGACCAGGCTGAGCAAGAGCGAGACTCCCTCTCTACTTAAAAAAATAAAAAAATAAAAAAACTAGCCAGGCATAGTGGCCTATAGTCCTAGCTACTTGAGAGGCTGAGGCAAGAGATCTCTTGAGCCCAAGAGTTTGAGGTTGCTGTGAGCTATGATGCCACAGCACTCTACCAAGGGTGACAGAGTCAAACCGTGCCTCAAAAAAAAAAAAAAAAAAGTGAAGACCCGAAGGTGTCCTAAGTCTGCTACTTGCCAGGTGAGTCTGCGCCAGTCAACACCTACTCCACAACAGTGTTGCGTGCTGCTCTGCACCTCGGTCAGTGATGCTCAGCTGCAACTGAGCGAAGGATGTGTGAGAGGTGGAGTGCAGGAGGGGTTCCTTAACCGGTACAGATGCTCTGGGCAATTTAATTAAAAGCCAGGCAAAGATGGCTAAATAAAGCAGCCACGACCATACGGGGCTGTTTCGGTGTATGAGATGAAGCTGTGGAGTGTTCTCTCCAGACTACAGAGTAATCATAGAAAGGGAACACGCTGTGTGGTGGGCAGTGTCGCCGTAACTGCCTGTCAGGTCACAGCCCTGGGTAGTCTCTCTGCTCCAACACAGTCACAGGGCTGCTCCCCCATCAGAAGGCTCACTCCATTCTGTGAGCCCTGGCTATTTCCACCGGGAGTGCAATGCCCTCTGCCTACCCAAGCACCCAGCTCTCAACTCCTGGACCTCAGGCCAGAGTCAAGGGCAGGTCCCAGAGTAAAAGTAGAGCAGGCAAGGGGACAGGGCAGGACAGGATGAGAGCTGCGTGGACTAGCCCTCCTACCTAAAGCTGAGGGGTTCCTCTGAGGCTGAGGCCTCAGGTTCACTGTCCAGTTCCAACAATGCTTCTGAGAACACAGCCCACCCAGCCCCACCCCAGCATTCCACCAGGACCAAAGCAAAGAGGTTGGCCTACCCAGTAGGGGTTACTATTCCCCACTCTGAGCCTAGGGCCTCTTCATTTTTATTAGCACAAACACTGATAGCTACCACTTTTTGGATGCTGTGAACACGTCATCGTATTGGAGCCTCCTGGCAGCCCCATTTCACTGATGAATCTGCTGAGACCAGAGAGGTCATGTGACCCGGACAGGGCACACACTGGAAGGAGCAGTGCAGCTGAGCTCCATGGGAAACACTCTGATTCTGTCTATATATCTTCTCCTGGGATCTGAGATGTGTGTTGCACCTCTGGCTGGTACAGCTGCTGGTTGAAGGGATTCATGTTTACCACCAAACACCTGGTGACACAGGTCAGGGCGGAGTCTTTTTCATGGAGGTCTTGGCCTCAAGTAAGAGCCAAAGGGAGGAATAGGTGGGGACTGTGTGCTGGGCAGAGCTCCAGAGTCAGGGTCAGAGTAGCTGAGTAATGGCCAAGGCTCTGCCACTCACCACTCTGTGGCTGGGCCGAGTCACGACCCTCTCTGGGCATGTGTTCTCAACTGATGACTGAGGCAGAGAACTTCTCACAGGCTTCTCTGATCAGAGGGGTGGCTGGGGCTGGCACATGGCCTTCATGGCTCAGCCAGTGGAATTCAGGGCACTCTGGACCCTGCTTCACAGCATGTCTGAAGCCTGGAACATGCCTTCAGTCCCCCCTATGTCCCTGGTGGAAACATGGGTTCACTGCCCTCCACTTTCATCCCAGCTCTCCCTGATTCCCATCCCTGGTATGCTTGGCTCAGGATAGAGTTTGGCCCTAGGACTCCATCCCCTGAACTGTCCCCAGTATCAGGCCACAGGATGACAGGGGCTGGGCAAGGGAGGAGAAGCTGGAAGGAAAAGAAAGGCAACCACCCAATCCACCAGGCAAGGTCACCAAGGAGGACTGGCTTGGGAGCCTTTGCCTGTTCTCAAGCCACCCTACGGTGGGCACCCACCAGCAAGGCTGAGCTGGGAGCCATGGCCACCACCCACCTGGATTGGGATGGTTCCTGTCCTCGTTGGCCAGGGCCTGACCCATCCCGTGATAGCATTCAGACCCAGAGAAGAGAGACATAAAAGCAAAACCCACAACTTTACCACACCACCACCCCACTCAAACGCCTGCTTTAATCAACCACCTGAGAATCAGTAGAAGCATCCAGAGCCGATTTTGCTATGCCAAGAGGATATACTTTATTGGATAAATTTCCAGGAAATCTTGTTTTTTGCAGCACAAAAGCATAGTTAAGTTCAGAAACACAATACAAGAAGTATTTGGGTAGAAAAACCTGCTAAGCGGGAGAGTGGGGTCAGGCCCTCTAGGGAAGGGTGCAGGCATTTATCAGCCAGGAGCCACAGGGGTATCCTCCTTCCTGTGGTCCCAGGCCCTGCCCTGGTGGGTTGGCAGGCTGCTCACTGCAGCCGGGACTGAACGTGCTCCCTGGAGATGACCTTCCCATCCCGGATCTCCTCAGTGACGGTGCGGATCTGAGCGTTGACCTGCGGAGCCGAGGAGCAGGGCATGGCCGGAGCACAGGGCATGGAGGGGACATAAGGAACTCTAACAGCAGGCTTGCACTCCATGGCACAAGGGTGGGCAGGAAGCCTGTAGAAATAAAACCATGTAGGATGAACTTGGCATTGGGGTGCTGGACTGAGATTTGTGATAAACAGACTTCGGGGATCAAAGGATACCAGTGGCCTCAGACCAAGTCAGTACCTTTGAACTCCCCAGAGGTGAAAAGATCAGGCTATAGGAATTAAGACCAAAAATTACCGATCTAAAAAGGTGCTTGGAGAAGTGCAGTGTGTTGTGTTAACTTGTACCCCGGTGCACTACCAAAGCTTGGGGCTAGAAGGATCTCCAGGGCCTTTGGTTAATCCCTGGTATCCATGCAATAAAGACTTTTGGGGACCAGCACCCCCTCCACAGCACTAAAGCTTCACCAGCCTGACTCTCAGGGCCCAGGGCCACTCACTTGCAGTCCTCGCTCTCCAGCAGCTGGCGATAGGTGGTGATCTCGCCCTCCAGCCGGGCCTTGACGTCCAGCAGCACCTGGTACTCCTGGTTCTGCCGCTCCAGGTCATAGCGTATCTCCGCCAGCTGGGACTCCACGTTGCTGATCAGGCACTGAATCTGGGCTAGCTGGGAGCCATAGCGGGCCTCTGTCTCCGCGAGGGTGGACTCCAGGGAATTCCGCTGCAATGGGAAAGAGGAAAAACTGCCAAAGGGAAGGAATCCCACCCCAGGAATGACAGCCCTTAGTGTCTATGCAAGGCCCGTAATCACACCCTGAGGCCAGTGGGTGCCTGCCCGGAGCTGTGGCCAGCCACCAAAGCAGAGGCCATTCACCATGCTGTGCTGGGCCTGCAGCTCAATCTCCAGGGCGTTGACGGTGCGTCTCAGCTCGATGATCTCTGTCTGACAGCACTGCAGCTGCTCTGAGCTAGACACCACCTGCTGGTTCAGCTCCTCGATCTAAAACACAAGAGGGCACAGAGCACAGTCAGACCAGGGCAGCTATTGAAGGAGAAACCCCACCCAGGAGCTTGTGGCCCCAGGCCTCCCCAGCCTCACCTGGGTGTTGAACCAGGCCTCCACATCTCGGCGGTTATTCTCCACGAGGGTCTCATACTGGCATCTCATATCATCCAGGACCTTGTTGAGATCCACAGGTGGGGCAGCGTCTACCTCCACATTCAGTCGGTCCCCTAGTTGGCAACGGAGCGCACTGACTTCCTGCAGAGAAGAGGCGAGATGGAGAAGGGGTGGAAAGGATGCTGGAGTGAGGGTTCAACTAACCAGATTGCAAACTCTCCTCCACCAATTGCCAGTGTAACATTAGACTGGACACTTAACTTCTCTGAGCCTTGGTCTCCTCATCGACAAATGTAATACCTACCTCCTCCTGACGATTTGGGAGAGTCAAATGAAATGATACAAACTCTGGGAAAATAGAATTGCTGCCATCAACAGTTCTCTGGACGGAGATTTATAACATGGGCAGGAGTGTGGATCTGTGTGACCTTAGGTAAGTGACAACCTCTCTGTGCAAAATGGAGTCAGTAATAGTTTATACCCCCTGGGATTCTTGTAAGGACAAAATGAAATGAGAATGAAATGCATAAGGCTCCATATAGCTCTTGACCAGCAGAGGCTCCCTGAGCTGGTTAGGGGCCCTGGTGGGAGCTGTGGACAGTCATGTGCACCATCCTCACCTGCTCATGGTTCTTCTTGAGACAGAGCAGCTCCTCCCTCAGGGACTCCACTTGGGCCTCCAGGTCAGACTTGCACAGGGTCAGCTCATCCAGGATTCTGCGCAGACCACTGATGTCGGCCTCCACCAGCTGCCGCAGGGACAGCTCCGTCTCATACCTGCACACACAGAGCCTTGTCAAGTCTGCAACAAAGGAAGCCACCCACAGTAGGGCCCCTGACTGTCATCCAGCTGCATTGGCTGACTTGGTGTCAAAGTGTGGCCCTTTCCCTTGACCCAGAAGGGACCCAGGAGCTATACCACATTTTCCCATTTACAGCTCTGTCTGGCCTCATTCCCACCTCACCAGGTCCCAAAGGCAGAGAGCACAGAGGCAAAGGAGCGACACAGCAAAACTTCCCCAACCAGGCCCACTCACTTGGTCCGGAAGTCATCAGCCGCCAGCTTGGCATTGTCAATTTGCAGGACCAGCCTGGCATTCTCAGATTTGGTCAGCAGAATCTGGGGAACAAGAGGCTTCCCATAAGCTGAGGAAGGCTGGGCGGTGTGGGTGCTGATGGGGGGATAGCCCAGGTCACAGAGGCCATGTTCCCAGGTACTACCAGAACCTTCAGCCCAGACCCCTGGTGTGGAGGGAGAATAGACCGCAGGAGGGTCATCACAAGGATGTCAGTGGCCATCATCCTGGCATGTATAACCCCAGAGAGGCACAGCAAGATGGGCCTGGATGGTTGGCACAGACCTGGATTCAGGTTCTGCATTTAACACTCAGACTGTGTGATCTCAGGCAAGCTGCTGAACCTCTCAAAATGCAACTTCCATATCTATTAAAGGGGTCCAGTGATACCATTCTCTCCAAGATGAGGAATAAGTAAGCCAGTGGATTGGAAAGTACCAGGTACAGTGTTGTTATATCCAGGAGGAGCTTGGGACATGTCTTTCTGTCCCTATAGCTGAGATAGTAAGAGGAAGGGAGGAATGGGGGAAAGCAGGGTACAGGTGCATGTCCCCAGAGAAACCAGAGCCCTACAGAGAAAAGCTTGCCCTGCCATTCCCTTGTGAGAAAGCCTTGGAATGAGACAGACCCCTCCCAGGAGTCGGGCTACATGGGTGGAGAGGGGCCAGATCGCCACTACCTTCTGCTGGAAGTCCTCAATGGTCTTGAAGTAGGACTGGTAGTCCGGGCAGGTGTATGGGACCTGAGACTCACACCACTCCCGGATGCGGCCCTCCAGCTCCGCGTTCTCCCGCTCCAGCTGCCGCACCTTCTCCAGGTAGCTGGCCAGACGGTCGTTCAGGAACCGCATGGTCTCCTTCTCGCTGCCATTGAAGGAGCCCTCGCAGAACCAGCCCCCACTCCCACCAAAGCTGGAGGGTTGGCACCCAGAGGACAGGTGGGAGGCAGGCCAGCAGCTCCCAAGGCCAGAGAGGCCCAGCCTAACAGAAGAGGCAGACCCCACAGCACCCCCAAAACTGGGGGCCCTGCAAGAGCCCACTGAGCGGACAGAGGACACCCGTGAGATGCCGCCTGCTGTGCCACAGATGCCCTTGACAGACCCAGTGGAGAAGATCGGGGTGCAGATCTGGGTGGTCATGATGCTCACAGAGGAAGGTGGCAGCTTAGTGAGGAACCTGGCTTCTGGCTCCAAGGCCTCTCCGGAGCCTTTATATACACTCTCTGTGGGGTGTTGGCATGTCACACATCTTTTACTCTGGGGAAAGCCCACTCCTATCCCAGAAAACTGGTCTCATTAGAATGTGATTTTTGCTACCCATCCAGAATTCCTTGCCTTGTAAAAAAAGAAAAAAAAATGTTGAATTGGGTTTGCTAAGTCAGGACTCTCAACTATTATCATCTCCTAGCAGGAAATGAATTTTATTGCCTCTTGAAAGAGTCTTTTCTCCAGATCCCATGAATCGGGAGTGGCCTCCCAAATGACTTCTGATTCCTGCCTTCCCTGACTACCTTTCCCCAAGGAGCCCAATCTGTCGACTGCTACCCCCAGCCCACTCCCCAGCCCTCACTACTGCTCATCTGTGCCTCAACCTCCATGACAAGAAGGGACAGAAGGGAACTAAAATTCATGGAGCACCCCTTACACGTAGCATTCAGACCTGTAGCTGTTTCATTTACACCTTTAACCATCCTAGGAGGTGGCCGCTACTATCTTCATCTTACCAATGTGGGAACTGGGGCTTAGAAGGGTTCAATCGCTTGTTCAGGGTGAACAAGAAGTGAGCAGCAGAGCTTGGATCTGAGACCAGGGTTCCCAGATACCAAATCCTATGTCCTTGTCCCACTGCTTCCTCACACAACTGAGGTTAAGTCTGGGTACCCAGAATTTAGGGACACAAGACCACAGTTCAACTCCTGGCCCTGCTGATACTTTGCCCTGTGGTGCCGAGTAGTTCGCTTCCTCCCTGGGATCCTCAGCATCCTCCTCCAGACAGTAGAAATTGTCACCCTTCTCTGCCTGCTTCCCACAGATATGAGTAGGACCAAACAGGAGAGAATGGAGAGAATTTTGAAAGCCATTGTGTACAGCAGAAATGCTGGTTAGTTTCAGAGAACAATCTTAGATGACAGTTTATACGGGACTGCTGAGGATAGATCTGCCTGGCCACCCTGAATAGGCAGTAACCGCATCATTGTGGAGCGTCTCCTGCCACTGTGGAATCTGCACCCTTGGCCCCGTGGGTGGGAGCTGAGGTGTGGTTCCCTCTGAGGCCCTCAGCTTTTTGAACCTGTGAGAGTAGAATCAGGACCCCAGGATAGCCCACTCTGAGCTTACTGATCCCTAAACAGGTCACAGAGATGGCTAATGGCAGGCTCTTTTGAACAAGAAGGAATACAAAGAACAAAGCTGAATACAACCAGACAGTTAAGCAATGAGAAAGGAGAGGGAGGATTCAGGACCAAAAGTAAACCTGGTCCCTCCACCTTGAAACATGGGCCCTCCCAAGGCTTGGGCAGCCTGTTCATGCTCCTCCCACACAGACTTGGTTTGCAAGGCTGGCATTTATGGGAGCGTTTATATGCTTCTAAAGTTGTAATTTGCCAGCCTCTTAAAATGCTTTATAAGCTTCTCTCTGAAATTATGCAAGGAGGATTGGCTGTGGTGAACACGCCCCATCCAGCATAGTAGACACCTTGGTGAGACGTCTGAGAGCAGCTGGTGATGGTCTCCCTTGATATCCTCTCGGTGCAGCCCCTCTTAGGAGTGAAGACAGGGCATTAACCCTCCAGAACAGCAGCTGCCCTAGCCACAGTTTCCTCATAGCCTCCCCTCCTCCCCTGCTCTCACAGAGCCTGGGGTTGGACTGTCACAGGGTCTCCCAACCTCAGCGCTATTGACACGGTGGGCCGGGTCATCCTTTGTTGTTTGGGGGCTCTCCTGGGACTGTAAATGCTTGGCAATATCCCTGGACTCTACCACCCTAGGCCAGTGGCAAACCTTGCTCCCTAAAATTTCTACCGATGTTGCCAAATGTCTCCAGTGGTGTCAGGAACCAGCCCCAGTTCAGAGCACTGGCCCATCAGGACAGTGATGGGTCTCTGGCCAGGTCTCCCATAAGCATCCCCCACTTTGTTTTCTAGGACAATGTAATGGCTGGCTCTGCTGGGCCCACTCAGGCACATCCTCAATACACCTATGCCTCAACTTACCTCATTTGTGACACAAGGGCTTACCCTGCACCTCAGACCCTGAGGAGGCACCTAGAAAGCCCTGGCACAGCTTTTCTCTGTTGGGGTCTCTGGCTGGTGGGCTTCTGAAGTTAACATTCTCATTTTCAACTTTTTTAAAGCCCTGCGCTGTGTGACCTGTATCTGAAATTGACTCTAGGTTTCTCACAGGGCAAGAGAGTGAGCAGGGGCCTGCCACTTCTGATGATCCCATCACTCTCACTGGAGCATTGGAAGGGTTGCCATGGGCCGGAGAGGTGTCTCCAGGGGGAGGACTATTCCTCCCTGGATCAGGTGACAAGCTAGTCAAAAGGAGAGGTCTTCCAGCCACCCTCAGTGCCCTGCCTTTGTCACATTGAACACTGCCCAGGCTACAAGAGGCTTCCAGAGGGCTCAAGCACATGACCGGACTGCAGCCTCTTCTTTCCAAACAACTGTGGGCCTCAGGGTCTCCCTTGGCCTCCAGCATCCACACACCACAAGAATTACCTTCCCAACCACAGGCTAAATGGTAGCACTAACCCACCGCAAGGGCTGCTCCCTGAAGGGCCCATTCAGAGGGGCAGTGTCAGTAGGACCCCAGACAGGCATCCCAGCACGTCCAGGACAAATGACATCACTGGCCAACAGAGCCAGGGACTTGGCTTTGCAGCAGAGGACGAAGACTAGGCAGTAGCCCTACAAATGGGCACCAGTGGGCATAAGATCATTCCAGAAATCCAAAGACTCTTTCTTAGAGCAGCCTGCGGGGTTAGGCCCCATCTTTCTGGTTTTCTCCTACTTAATGCCTATTCCACCCTTGAGGTCCCTACACACAGGACCCAGGGAATTTCCCACCATAAGAGACACCTAAGAAATGCTGAACCCATGTCTTAATCTCTCCCGACTCCACCCAATACCCACCCAGAACACCGGGAGACCCACAACTGGTCCTCATTCTCTCCACACAACTGCTTTTTCCTTGTACCAAAAAATGTATTCAAGTGAAAAAGTGCTTGGGACCCTAGCCCCTCTGCTAAAAAGCTCAGTTCTTTCTGTATGTTCTGTATCAAATAACCACATCCATAGCTCGTGACAAATCCATTGCCAGTGTAAGTCGGATTCTATTATAGTACAGACATGCAGTAACAGGTACACTACGCTGAAGAAAGCATTATAGAAGGTAAAAGAACTTACAATTAAGACATTTCTAACCACCAAAGAATCCAGGAAAGGTCTTGCTTATACATTTTTGATGGTGGAAGACTCAGGGCCATTCACAAACCTGGTAATGATAGGGATTGCCAGATTTAACAAATAAAAATATTAAATACACACCGTATTTGGAACATACTTGTACTAAAAAAATTACATGTTGTTTATCTCTGATTCCAGTTCAACTGGGTGTCCTGGCAACCTGCGGTAAGGAAGCATGGCTGGACAAGAGCAGTGGCCAGATAAGACACACCATTCCTTTCCTCCTCGCCCGGTGGCCTGTCACCATGTCTGGCTATTCTTAGAGACAAACATAATCTGGTTTCCCCTGGAACATCATGCCTTTCTGTCGCCTGACATTCTGCTTTTAGTGGCTGCCATTTTTGTCCTCCCAGGCCCAGCAAGCAGGACTTGGAAGTGTGGGGGCTAAGTTGTCCTGCCTCCCCTCCTGGCCACCTCAGTGACATTCCACCCTGATCGTGCTGCCTTCAGTAGAGTGACTCAGACCTTCCTGAACAAGATTTGGCAAGTCTTTCTCTGCTCCATTTCCCACCTCAATTTCCCACCCCAGCCCCAGCCCCAGCCTATGCCCCAAGCCTCTACCCACCCACTGCTGTCACTCGGCCTCACCAGGCTCACAGCACAATCTGAACACACAGGGACTGAGGAGGTCTTGCTGCATTCCCTGGCTGCCCCTCCTCAGTAAGGCACTGAGAAGTGGCTCCTCCAAGGCTTGAGGGCCCCATGAGGCTCACAGGTCCAGATCTCCAACATTCTGCTTCTGGTCTAGACCTGAATGCCCATTAGGCCTCAGCCTTACCCTGATCAAGCCTCAAAACCCCCACTTTACCAGGCCCAGAGTTTCTCTAGTAATCTCATCTCAAAACACAAAAGTATTTTCTCTACTCCTAGCTCGTGGTTTTGGCAATCGTCAAGGGCTTTGAGATTCTGCTCCAAGTTGCTCTCTTGCCACAGTGGAAACTCAGGGACACTGACCCAGTCTTAAGCCATACCTGGGAGGATATTCTGAAAGGTCCAAGTTCTGCCATCCACCTGTCAAGGCCATTGCTTTCTCACCCCCAGGGCCAGCTCTGCCTTCACAGCTGCCCTGATAGCCAGCTCCCATCTAGAAAAGGAAGAGTCCACAGCCTCTTGTTCAGATCCACTGAGGTCCTACCTGCCCCCCACCTCCAGCCTTTATGGCCTGGAGCATTCCAGAGTGTCATTTTGCTTCCTTGGTGTGCTTGGAGAAGCTGTGGTTTGTGGAGAAGCATGGCCAAGCCCACGGAGAGAAGAGGGCTGGTACCTCAGCCTCATGTCCCCTGGTTCAAGTATCATTTAACTGAACCATAAAGTGAATTTCTCAATCAGCCTGTTTGATTGGATTCAGTAGCCTGCATTTACAGGGGCTGGGGTGCCATCGACCTGACTCTCTTCCTACTGACAAAAAAGCATGTCTGCAAACCAGAGTGGGGGCTCCAGGCTATAATTAGCCATGCTGGACACTGCGGATTTTACTTTCAAACTGGTCTGAGATCCCGGGATGAAAGAAGCCACAGGATCATTGTGACTATTCATAAAACTGGGCCAAAAGAATGACTACCAGCTCCGTGCCAACTTCACCAAATACTGCCCCCCAGCAGGTACCTGCACCCGCCCATCCACCTGTTCCCTTCCAAACTCTGTGGAAGGTGAGAAAGCATGAAGTGCTCCCAA